GGAGCACAGGCTCCGGACGCGCAGGCTCAGCGGCCACGGCTCACGGGCCCAGCTGCTCCGCGGCATGTGGGATCTTCCCGGACCGGGGCACGAACCCGTGTCCCCTGCATCGGCAGGCGGACTCTCAACCACTGCGCCACCAGGGAAGCCCCATTCTTGGTCTCTTTATCATCACCTGGACAGCTCCTCCAGGCAGCCATTTTTGTTTTATTTGTTATTATTTTATGGTTATTATGAAATCTCAGGCTCACCAGTGTTGGTGAGGTTGGCCCAAGCCCCCTGCAAGAGTAGAAAACATTGGGTTGGCCAAAAGGTTTGTTCAGTTTTTCCCATGAGATGGCTCTAGTAGCACTTAGTTGTCTTTAACTTCATTCGAAACAATTTTATTAGGCTGTATGTGACAGCTGTCATATCAGCGTGCATTTAAAAAAAGACATCAAAATTGGTGAATTTTTGTGTAGCCATTTTAATATTGAAGATGGAAGGAAAAAAGTCACATTTTCAGCATATTATCCTTTATTTCAAGAAAGGTAAAAGCACAGCTGAAACGCAAAAAAAGATTGGTGCAGTGTATGGAGAAGGTGCTGCGACTGATCGAATGTTGTCGGAAGTGGTTTGTGAAGTTTCGTGCTGGAGATTTCTCACTGGATGACACTCCACGGTCGGACAGACCAGTTGAAGCTGATAGAGATCAATCAAGACATTAACTGAGAACAATCAATGTTATACCACGTGGGAGATAGCCGCATACTCAAAATATCCAAATCAAGCGTTGGAAATAATTTGCACCAATCTGGTTATGTTAATTGCTTTGATGTTTGGATTCCACATAAGTTAAGCAGAAAAAACCTTCTTGACTGTATTTCCAAATGCCATTCTCTACTTAAATGTAATGAAAATGTTCTGTTTTTAAAACAAATTGTGACGGACAATGAAAAGTGGATACTGTGCAGTAATGTGGAATGGAAGAGATCATGGGGCAAGCGAAATGGACCACCACCAACCACACCAAAGGCCGGTCTTCATCCAAAGAAGGTGATGTTGTGTATATGGTGGGACTGGAAGGGAGTCCTCTATCATGAGCTCCTTCTGGAAAACCAAACGATTAATTCCAACAAGTACTGCTCCCAGTTAGATCAACTGAAAGCAGCACTCGATAAAAAGTGTCCAGAATTAGTCAACAGAAAACGCATAATCTTCCATCAGGATAACACAAGACCGCATGTTTCTTTGATGACCAGGCAAAAACTGTTACAGCTTGGCTGGGAAGTTCTGATTCATCTGCCGTATTCACCAGACATTGCACCTTTGGATTTGAATTTATTTCGGTCTTTACAAAATTCTCTTAATGGAAAAAATTTCAGTTCCCTGGAAGACTGTAAAAGGGACCTGGAACAGTTCTTTTCTTTGCTCAAAAAGATAAAAAGTTTTGGGAAGATGGAATTATGAAGTTGCCTGAAAAATGGCAGAAGGTAGTGGATCAAAAGGGTGAAGAGGTTCAATAAAGTTCTTGGTGAAAATGAAAAATGTGTCTTTTATTTTTACTTAAAAAGCGAAGGCACTTTTTGGCCAACCCAATAGTATTTAAAGTACATGTGTAGCTCTGTTGTCTCAAACAGTTTGAGTTCCATAAAATGGCCAAACATGACCCTTTTATTTCCTTCACATTTATTGCACTAATCTTAATGCAGTAAATAAAAATCAAGAAGAGGAAAAACAAAAATGTTTCTCGTCCACCCTAGCCTCTCCCTGTCTTCATTATTCCCTGTTCATTTCTGATTGTAGTTTCTTTGCCTGTGTACTGTTTACATAGTTCTGTTATAGAATGAGAGCTTTTTTCCAAATGAAACACTTTCTTATGACGGTAGTATAATATTCCTTGTAGTTTGATGTGTCATGATTTCATTTTGTAACCTGTACTTTTTCTCTTTGACAGTGTCACACTGCCTTTAAGTTCAGATGTCCCCAAGGTATTTGCAGCATTGCCTGAGTTTTATGTAGAAGATGTTGCTGAATTTTTATTTTTTATTGTACAGTAAGTCCCATTCACATGTTACATAGCTCTAATATGTGTTTATATGTAATATGTACATTACATTATGAGCCTCCATCTTATGCCACTGCTTTAACCGAATGCTGCCTGGAGACTGGAAAAATAAATCCGGCTGTGGCATCCAGCCAATTCCAATAATAACTCAAGACAGAGGAGGATTTACAGTGCTGGTAATAATGTGCTCTGTGAAAAGTGAGTCGAATTGTATGTCTGAGAAACAAGGAGAAAACCGTTTATAAATATCTGAGTGAACATTCAAAAGCCAGAAATACCCACCTCGCTATTTTGTACCAGAATTTTTCTCAATTGTAAAATTAGAGAACGCTTACAAAGAAATAGGTTGAGTTTATAACCAATATTTGAACTTGGAAAAAGTGAAAACAGCTCCATCAAAATATTTTTTAAAGTCTTCTTGGTCGTGAAGATCTTCTGTAAAATTCACCTACGATTTAATCATACCTTTGGTTTATTTTCTAAAACATAAGTTAATATAACATGCTATGGCCAATAGACGCAATGGGTTTTAAATCTACCTAGCTATAATGGGGATAGTCACCTTAAACTCAGCAAGTTAAAGGGAATTCCGTGTCCTGGCTCCTAGACCTATTCGTCCCCTTCCTTGCCTAATGACACCAGCATCCACCCGTGTTTTTTCAGAGCTTTACTACCTGTTCCTCTCACCTCTCTTCAGATACTCTCCTCAGGTGCTTTATGAGCCCTGTACTCAGGATATTGTGATGTTCCTCGTTGTGATGTTGTGTAACCAGAACTACATCCGAAATCCATATCTGGTGGCCAAACTCGTAGAAGTCATGTTTATGACTAACCCTGCTGTTCAGCCACGGACCCAGAAGTTTTTTGAAATGATTGAGAACCATCCTCTCTCCACCAAGCTGTTGGTCCCTTCCCTGATGAAGTTTTATACAGGTAGGTTCCTGATGTGCACAGCTGGGCAAGGTCGTCTAAAGCCAGTGGCTGAAGTTGTCCTAAACCCGTTACCTAATATTCTGACATCGGCTTATAAGTACGACCCACTAACACACTGCCAGCAAAGCATAAACTGTTGGTTATTTTTCCCCTGAGTAGTGGAAATATTACACTGACCACTCTGTATACTAAGTCCCTGATGATTCAGTGAGATCCATTGAAAGTCAGATGGGTAACACTGAGATCAAGTTGGTGTTTTTATCTGAAACTACCTGGGTCATTTTAGCTTTTAACTTACAACATTAGTTTTGCAACACTGTCCTATAACCCAGAGTTTCAAAACTGGGTGAAACCAGGAGCTTGTTAAAAATGCTTATTCTTGGAGATCCCACTCAAACCAACGGAATCAGGATCTCTGAGAGTCTTCACTCATTGACTAATTCTGTACGTTCATCCAATGCCTACTATTTGCCAGGCACTGTTCTAGGTGCTAGGTGACACTGGTGAACAAGACTGAGAATGTATCAGACACTCTGCAAGGAGGTCTTCCTCTTCTGGTTGAATTGTATTCCAAATTTTCATTTTTAATTTAGCTTTTGAACCACAAATGTGTTTTCATAAAGCCTGTTACTTAGGGGTTGCATTCACCTGTTCTCTACCAAAGGCACAGGATTATACAGATGGAACATTTTCCCTCCAGTTTGTATATTTCTCAGGAGAGGAAGTGTGTTGTCTGTCTTTTTTTAAATTAATTAATTTATTTATTTTTGGCTGTGTTGGGTGTTCGTTGCTGCGCGCAGGCTTTCTCTAGCTACGGCAAGCGGGGGCTATTCTTCATTGCGGTGCGCGGGCTTCTCATTGCAGTGGCTTCTCTTGTTGCGGAGCACAGGCTCTAGGCACACAGACTTCAGTAGTTGTGGCTTATGGGCTCAGTAGTTGTGGATCATGCAGGCTCAGTAGTTGTGGCACGTGGGCTTAGTGGTTCCACGGCATGTGGGATCTTCCCGGACCAGGGCTCGAACCTGTGTCCCCTGCATTGGCAGGTGGATTCTTAACCACTGCACCATCAAGGAAGCCCTTGTCTGTCTTCTTATCTTCTACTGAACCTGGCACGTTCTGGGCACCCATTTAGCAGAATGTACTCGCCATGCTCTTAGAAGAAACACCAGCCTCCCAGAGCACAGTCCATTGTTGTTCACAGCGGCAGCAGCGGTTTGAGGATTCCTCTGTGTTCAATGACAACCACCCCCTTCCCTGTAGACCAAGACCTGCTCCTGCTTATTTTGGGCTGGTGCTGACATCTCTCTGTGTGTGCTTCTGAGGCTCAAGAACCTGTCTACCTCCTTTCCCCTTTGTCACTATTATCTTATGTCACCTACTGGGAGTTTCTCTCCTTCCCCAAGCCTGCCTGTATCCTCTTAAACCTAAACAGGTATGCAGGCCTCTTGAAGTTTTGTTAACATGCTCACCTTGTCAACAGCAGAACACTCCTGGGTAAAAGTCCCCCGCTTGGCTCTCCTGTCCTCCTCTTACCTCTCAGCCCTAGTAGGAGAGGACCACAGGCCATTCCAGGTACAAGTGGTGCATCACCCGTGTACAGGACGGGACCTTGTATGGTCCCTTGCCCCTGTCAGGCTTACCTGAATTGAAGGTAATTCTGCATTTCTTAAAATAATGATGAGGTACCTCTTTTCACCTGTTAAATTTATTTTTAAGATGGGAATACCTAGTGCTAATATGGTTGTATGGAAATAAACGAACCTGCAAAAGTCTGTTTCATCTCCTCCGTAGCTCGTGTCTAGAATTAGTGCTATGAAACTCTCTAAGAATGTAAGTTGGTAAAGCCTTTCTGGGAGGCAGATTGGCGGAGTCCACACCAAAGCCTTTTATCTTCCATATCAGTCAAGGCCCAGTTAGGATAACCTGCCGGTTAGTTTAAGAGAGAGAATTTAACATAAGGAACTGGTGAAATAGGTAGTGGAAGACAGAAAAGGCAAATAAGGAGCACTGGAGTAGTACAGATTGTCGGTGCAGGGAGCAGCCATCATCTGTCCCTAGGGCTGGGGGAACCAAGGGAAAAGGCTGGGGTTATGGGATTCTAGTGCCTCAAATCAGTGCTGAGACAGAACTGGGACCCAGGCCTGAGGAAGCATGCTGGCCAGCTGGTGCTGGTGTCTCTGAGGGCATGTGGGATTCCTGGTCCTGCGAGTGTGGAACAAAGCTGGAAACAAGCCAGCTGCTGCTGCTGGGCTGGAGAGTCCATGATGGGAGCAGCAAGCCAACGGAGGTCCAAGTCCCTTCTTCAGTTTTCCAGCTCCCCTGCAGCGCCCCCTGTTGGCGAGCCTAACAGGGGGCCAGCTGGCAAAGGGAAACTTAAGAGTCCCAGCGTCAGTATCGCAAAGCCAAGTATAAAGGGTGGATTTGGGGGGACCTCCCTGGTGGCCCAGTGGTTGAGACTCCATCCTCCCAATGCAAGGGCCCGGGTTTGATCCCTGGTCAGGGAACTAGATCCCACGTGCGTGCCGCACCTAAGAGTTACATACCGCAACTAAGGAGCCCAGTGCCGCAACTAAGACCCGGTGCGACCAAAGAAAGAAATAAATAAGTGTCTTTTAAAAAAAAAAATTGGTGGATTTGGGGCTGAGAGACAGCAGCTAAATAATGAGTACATCCTCTTACATGTAAACTTCATTCATAGTAATCGATTCTGTGGGAATAAATATAAATGTCTGTAAATGTTTATAACAGCATTCACTGTGTTAGTATTTATAATGCGGTACAGTGAGAGTATTAAAAACAACCTAAATTCCTGCCAGTTGTGGGTCAGTTAAGTAAATTATAGTGTATCCATACGGTGGGTCTATGTGAACCATGAAAAATAGTGTGTTATTTACAGTACGTGGTTAAGTAATAAAAAGTAAAGAAAATGCCATGTAATGGAACAATATGTCAAGTATGACCACGTTTTGGTACACATATATTTATTACAGAAAAAAGTATGGGAGAATATATGCCAAAATATTAACAGTGAATTGGTTATTTATGAATGGTAGAACTGTGGGTAGTTTGGGTTTTGTTTTTTTTTAATTATCTGAACATCTTAATTATTCTACAGTAAACATGCATTGTTAGTATTAAAAAAATTTTTTTTTAGTTAAGTGCATTTTGTACTCAGATAGTGCCCTGGGCCTGTCACTGTGGCTTTGGTATAAAGAACAGGGCTGGGCCTCTTGCCTGTGAGACCAGTGCTGGGCCTGGGGGGCCCCCCACCGGTAAGATTCCAGGAGCTGGTGGGCGGGTGTTGTTTTTCCTTTCCCCCTTGCCACCAAGCAGTGTGCCCTCTGGCCCTGGACCACCTCTGTGGTGGTCCATGGGTATTAGATGATACCCATGCTAATAATAGCCACTGCTTATTGAACATTTACTAATCCTTTCACTAAATCCACACAGCAGTCCTCAAGATGGGTGCTATAAATATCTCCATTTTACGAATGAGGAAACTGCAGCTTAGAAAGGTCAAGAAGCTTGCTGAAGGTAAACAGCCAGTGAGTGGCAGCAGCCTCAGCAGCCGGGCATTAGCACACATGCTCCTCTAGTTACCACGGGCCCCGCGCCAAGGGAGCCCTGCCTCGGGCGTGGTGGACACTCCCCACGTGTCCATCAAATCCATGTTAAGTCCTGCTGACTGAGGTCCTGACTCCTGAGCACGGCTGACTCTCAGACATGAATTAGAGGATTGATCTCTGGAACAGGCTCCTCTTTTACACCCCAGAGAGGGTATTCTAGCTTAGACAGTACTTATGATCAAATGTTTGTTCCAAAAATAAAACTGAGTTTCAAAAATAAGAGTATTTTATTTGTACCACAGCAGTCAGTGCCTTAAGGACCAGCTCTCAAAACTTGGCTCCTCAGAACCAGGAAGAACACTGATAACCAAGACTTACCTTCAAGACTGTTCTCTTCCCCACGCTGATCTGAATCAGCAAAGCCAGCGTTAGCCCAAGTAGATTCGATCACTAATTCAACAAATACGTACGGAGCTCCTACTGCGGGTCAGCTTTGGTGTTGCTGCCAGGGCCTAGCGGTGAGGACCCCAAATCCCCGCCATCACCAGTCAGGCACCCTAGCTGGGAGACAGACACTGAACCCATAAATGAGGTAATTCCAGAGAGTGAGTGTGTGAGGAAGGCCTGGTGCTGCTTTAAGAAGCATAGTCAGGGGAGGTCTCTGAGGAGATGACTTTGGAGTAATGTTGAAAATGAGACCCAAGAGGGAACAATAAGCAGATCTCAGCCACAGTGTGCAGACAGTGAGGACAGCAAGTGTAAAGGCCCTGAGGCCCGGGCAGCCTAGTGAATCAAGCAAGAAGACTCATGATGGGGGAGCAACTACCAGGGATAGTTCATTGCAGGCCTCTTAGAACTGGGACTTGAGAATTAGAACTTGGGCTGATGCAGTTTTGAGGGAACATTAGGAATGAATTTTTTTTTAATGTTGGGAGAGATGTATATTGATGGGTAGTAAGTTAACGGTCATTACTTAGCCTCTGCTCTGTTCAGGATACTGTACAGGTGTTATGAGCCATTTAGAGCCTTGACGAGGCTCTTTGCCAGCCCCCGGTGTTCTCCTGTGGACTCTGCTAAATCAGCCCTCCACGCTTTAGTTCACACTTTTATACAGTTAATAAAATGACAGTTCAGCTTAAAGAAAGGTTGACCTAATGAATATATGTAAGTGCTTTTAGATCTTTGTACCATAGGTCTTAGCTTATTCCTTTTATCTTTAAATAACTACTTTCCTTTTTAATCCCAAGAAACTGTTCATTGGCAAATATAGAAAATAGCAAAAAGAAAATAAAAATCATTGATAATCTCTGCACTCAGAGAGAATCTGATAACATTTTGCTCTGTATCTTTCCAGTCAATTTGTATATCATGTGTGTGAGTGTGTGTGTATTTTTTAATATGATTGGACCCAAACTGTATATTTGGTTTGGTAGCCTGTGGTTTTCACTTAATATATCACAAATACCTTTTTTGTGTTCTCTGTTGGGCACTTGGATTATTTATATTTTTTTCATATAAATAGTACTTTAATGAGTATCCTTGGAGATCAGTCTTTGAACATGTGTTTTCTTGAATAGAATTGGTGGGTCAGAAAGATGGGCATACTGATGGCTTGAGATACATTTTGTAAAATTGTCTGTTCATCCCCACCAGCATTTATAGGGTGCCTTTTATCTTTTCCTTGAGTCCTACTGTCTTTACCTGACAGTTTTCCTTCTTTTTAAGATTTGTCATGAATTCAGGAATTTCTCATGCTTAAGCTGTGTGTCTTTTGGATAACTAAGTTTGATCTTTGTTCCATGTAAAAAGATACATGGATGATGGTAATTGGTAAATGAATGATGAGTGCATAGAGATTTACTGTGCTTTTCTCTACTTTTAGAACATCACTTATACAAAAGTAGTTAAAATAATAGTCACATTTAGTAGGTATGTGGCCCTTAATAAAACTTAACCCAATTTTTTTCCTGCTCAGGGATACTCATTTAAAGTTCTATTGAATTTCTATAAATTAGTAAGAAAATTGGGGGAGTTATGAGAATTCAGATTCTGGTCATGGGTGTTGCCAAGCTATTTTCCCAGCCCAGTTCCTTTTGTTATTGTGTCATTGCCAGACCTTCGTTGTGAAACTTTTGTCTTCAAAACCACCTCGTAATTTCTCTTCTGCCTTCCATGTGAGATATAGACAAAATTTTACCACATCTGTGATTTTGCAGATTTGTATTATTCATTCAGTGACATTGTAGCAGCAATAACTGCTTTTAGAAAGGGAAGAAAGTACACATGCTTCAGTCCCTTGTCTTTCTTCTTTAGATGTTGAGCATACCGGAGCCACCAGCGAGTTCTATGACAAGTTCACCATTCGCTATCATATTAGCACCATTTTTAAAAGCCTTTGGCAAAATATAGCTCACCATGGCACCTTTATGGAGGAGTTCAAGTGAGTATTGGGCCCCTAACGTCACAGCTTGCTCTCTTGCAAATCACAGGTAGAGTGGCCGCTTAAAAACTCACAGCTGGGTTCTTGTTGACTGTTTGCTTGGTCTCAGCCTCCCTTAAGTTTTCCAGATGGTACTGCTAAATGTGAGTATGGTTACCTAAATCTCTGTGCTTGACAGACATTGCTGAACTTTAGATTTTTCAAGATACTGTGGGCATGGTATACGTAGAGAAAGAATCTATAACTTCTGAAATGGTGTGTTGTGGTTTTTGGTGTTTCCTGATTACAGTATTAAATGAATGTGCAGAATGCCTGAAATGAGATCTTACGGTGCTCTTGAATATGATATCAAGCTTTAGAGTTAGAAATGTAAGGAGAACTTCAGATTCAGAAGCAGATAGGGTAAGACTGTCACTTGAAGTGACGTTCTTTGTAGTGAGGCCCTAGACCTCGATTAAGGGCTTTTCATTACCAACCTGAAATTTCGGTGACTACTTAAACCTGGACATTAGTAATTCCATCTAAGTTACTTTAAAAAGAAAGGTGCTTCACATAGAAAGGTAGGTGAAAATATTGAACTCTTGAATTATTCTTCAGAAGAAATTTTATCCCATCTCCTTGGATCTTTTGCAACCCATGTTCAGTCTTGGATCAAGCCTAGCTGTCACTTGTTTACTGAGTTACTAGTCCACAGTATAAGTATGACCAGTGGAGCAGCCATTTGCGAGACACCTTTCTGCAGAGTAACCTCTCTAAGTTAGTTATCTCCATGAACTGCTCTTGTCGTCAGAATTACATTCCAACATAAAAAGCTTGGCGTGAGCTTAGGAGACCAGGCAGGCCCACAGCTTGATCTGCCTGGTGCTAATTAGGAGTGTTCATTCCTGAACTTCCCATGTTCCTGAAATCCAGGCCTCTGCCCTTGTTCACAGGAACTTCTCTTCCCCGCACCCCCGGCATGGGCTCACTGCCCTCTAGTCACCCAGCAGTAGATCCTGAAGTTTAACTCCTCTTTTCTCTACTAATCTGGCAGATACAGAGTCTAACAGGTGGGCCAATCCATCTCAGCTCACCAGTAAGTCCCTCCATTATAATAGGATATGCAGGACAGTTCCAGAGATTGGAAACTTCCGTTTCCATAAAGTATGTTAATATCCTACTTTATGAGTATTACAGCTTCCACTTTTTTTTCACCCTGTCTTTCTTTATAATAAAGAAGAACTGTATCGGAAGTTCTCTTGTCTCTTATATGTGGGTATTTGTGCTTTCCTTATATGTTGGGGAGTTTAAGCATATTTTCTTTTCTAGTCTGGAAGAGTGTTTTCTCTACTTAAAATTATTGAGGGAATGAGCTGGGGAGTGCTGGTAAATCCACTCTCTGGAGGGGGGGGGAAGTCAGCATTTGCTGGTCGTTCAGGGTGTAAATACCGCCACTGTTGCCAAATTTGAGCTACCAAGGGAATTTGCTCGCAGAACTCTAGAATGTTAGGACTTGGCTCTCGGGAACCGTGCTGTAGCACATCGGTGGGATGAGCTTATCAATTAATGTAGAAGAATAACAAGGTCTCAGGAGATGTGGGGCTGCAGCACCGGAGCTGCGCCTCCACTCCAGGGAAATGTGTGACCATGTACCGTGTAATTGCCTTTTTAGTTCCGGGAAGCAGTTTGTCCGCTATATAAACATGCTGATAAACGACACAACATTTTTGCTCGATGAAAGCCTGGAGTCTTTGAAGCGGATCCACGAAGTGCAAGAAGAGATGAAGAACAAAGAACAGTGGGACCAGCTGCCCCGGGTGAGGACACGGTCCAGGTGATGGGACAGCATCACAGGGAAGCAGCCTTGGCCCCGGGCAGAGCCCTGCTTTAGGGGCTGCATCTGGGTCTGAAGGCTTAGGTCCGACAGACTTGTCGGTACTTGTTATCATCCCACCTGTGGGCTTCTGTGAAGTTAGAGCCCAGGTTTGGGGTAGGAGAACCCTTAAACACTTGACCTAAAGCTAGCAAATGAGGTGAGAAGTCTTTGTCCTGAAAACTCTCTCTGCCTTTTTAACTTTCAAGGGCTGTTTTGGAGAAGAGCTTTTATTGTTCGAATATGTTAAGATGTAGGAAAGTAACTAGGAAATAAATCTCTAGGACTCTGTCTGCTAGGCAAGAATTTGGTTTGTTCGTATGATCTTCTTTGGACATCTGTGTGACTAACTCAGGAGGGCTGTGATGGGGTGTTTTTCCTCTCAGTACATCTTGGTTTTTGTGTTCAGTTATAAACAGAAAAGAGGTCTGTTTTGCCAGGTTCCATGAGAAATTCCT